AAATGAATCTGAATCATCTGAAGTTGCCAGATTGTGGAACATCACATATGGGATGAAATAGATCTGTCTTAAGCATTCCTTGCCCATGTTGTCTCACTGGAAAAACAGCTTTTTGTAATTACAAAGGATATTTTTACCTTTTATGGGGATGTAAGTGAGCTCAAGAAATCTTGTCCGGTGTTTTGCAGACCTTCAGAAGCTTCCTCCTGAGCAGCTTACAACAAAACATAAATACCATTACTATGTTGAAAATCGGCGTAAAAACTTCATGAAAGAAGCGGCTTGGAGGAAGGCAAGAGCTGCTTTGGTCTAAGGAAATGTGGGAATAGGAGGAGCTGTTGAAGAGCTAGCACCAGGACCTGGTGTCTGAATTGAAAGAGGTGATTTAGAGCAGGGATATTTCTTCTGCAGTTATCATACTTTTATTGTTTTGTTGTTATGTTGTTGTTTTCATAATATATTTTGTTCAGATTCTCTTGTGTTTCTTCACTGACAGTCTTCTAGAGAACAAACAAGTGCAAAAAAAATGCTTTGGCATTTTCTGCCAAAGCAAAAATTGTAAAGCAAATATTAAACAGCATTAATAGAAAACTAACCTTGAATGCATAATGATTCATATTTGTACCAGGAGTTTTGGCCTCAGCAACCCTGCTCACAAACTGTCGTGGGAGCCATATGTTTGAGTGCAGGGAGCTGCATGGTACCAGGGATGGTCAGGTCCTGTTCTGGCTCATGAGGGCTCTCCAGCTGTAAGCCTAGCTCTCACCGGATCTGTTTGGATGTTAAATATGAGTTGGTTTAATTTAATTTATAAAAACAAATGTGGTGCCTCTCTGACCTTCTAGGCAGTTATTTAAGAGCATAATCAACAAACCGCTGTAAAGCCAGCAACAACTCAACAAATAAGCCATAAAGCGCAGATAAAAAAATGCTATCACCAACAGCCTCTCCTTAAACTGCACGCTTTCCTTGTTTATCTGACTATTTGCAAAATACAGCTGTGAACAAGGTGCTGTTCTGCACCTTAGGACTGTCCTGCAGAGCAGCCTGCAGGCTGGGTCAGCTGCAGAATTAGAGAAAGGCTGAGCCACCATCCCCATTACTGGGAGGAGGAAAGATGGCACAGTGATCGTAGAGGACATAAAGAAGGTTTTAGCCCTTAGCTTGCAGGTCTCCCCTCTCATACTTACGTGGTAATCGCAGGAAGATGTTGAGATAACAGCTCGGGGAGAAGTTATTTTCCAGCCAGCTCTTTGCCCTGCATTTGAAAACTTTTCCTTGGCTTCTTCCTGCCCAGCGGCTTGGAGAGCCACATAAAGCCTGCAAGCAGCTCATGGTGGGATACTGGAAGCCAGAGAAGGTCTCTGGGTTACTGGATGTACCTTGTATGAAGATCAACTTTGTGTCTTTTCTCCATTGTGTCTCGTAACAGCTGAACAGTGAACTGGAGGAGGGAGCCAAGCTTTCCTTGGAGAAGGGAGCACATGTGGGAAGGTGATGCTTTGCATCAGGATTTTAAAGGGAAAGAGAGAAAGCATATGCTGGTCTCCAGAACCAAACACTACACATGAACAGTTGATCTAACACCTTAAATTATTTATCTACACACGTGAATTGGAGAGAGTCTTGTCCTAAATCTGCAGCATGGTAGACAGCAGTGCTGCAGAAAAGAGCCACACAGCTGCACAGGATAAGGGGTGCAGATGGCAGTGGTGATACTGCTTCTGAGTGAGGAGGCAGAGGAAAGGTTGTTTTATAGAGCTGAGTCACAGTACTGCCCAGACCTTGTCTGGGAGCAGAGTAGGCAGGGTTAGAGCAGGTGGGAGAATGACTGGGGACAAGTGTCTCTGGCCAGCAGAGCGGCAGGTTGTTGCCTGTGGGCTTCGGGAGCTGATCTGGCAAAACTTTAGCAGAGAGAGCAGGGAGCAGGGTGGGAAGGCTTGGTGCTGACTCTCTAGAGAGGCCATAAAATCAAGTTGTGAAAATAGAGAAGTGTGGCAAAGGGCCGCTGAATTATGACAATTCTCCGCAACTGGAATTTGGATTGTGAGCAAAATGTGCTGGGAGTGCCTTATCTGATTTGTAAAATCAGTATGTATTCATGAATCAGGTATGCAAGATAAGGGAATGACAGGTAAACAGATTATTTCGCTTAAGCCACTGTAATTCAGATTTTCCACAGCTTGCTGTGCATGAGTGAATGAAAAGTCTGAGACACAATGCAAGTATTTGAAATGTGTTTTTACAGAGATTGCATTATCTGCTGGATTGGATGTTTGCAATTGCACTGTGGCTAATTCAGCCTCTCCCTGCAGCTCTCCCAAGGCTGAGTGCTGCCGCTGGACAAGTACTGTGCAAGATAAAATGTGCTTTGCATTGTATCCCACTTTAGGCAGGTCTGCATCAAGCGTAATTTCTCCAAGCATCCCTCTTTTGAGCTAATTAAACTCCCTCCCCTTTGCTGCCTTTTCAGTGCTGTGCTGCTGCGTGTTGTCTCAGCACCAGTGGGTGCTATAGTTACGGGTTTATCCCAGCGGCTGTTTCCCCCTATAAGAAAACAGCTCAGAGAGGTAAATGTTGCAGGGCTGGAGCTGAAAGTGCAGCAACAATGCCTGGCCCTGAAACTGGGCTCTGTCTATAGCTGAGAAATAGTTTCTGTTAAATTATAATAGGAGCAAACACTGAAGTTTTCTGAGTGTTTCAGGATTCTGATCTTACGATTGCTGCTTATTCACATTGTTTTTAAGTGAGTTTGGGTGGTCTTTTAAATCGGGAAACCAAATTAAGTGCAGTCCTCAAGCCAAACCCATAATCAAACCATGGTTAGGGCAAATTGTCCTAAGAGGAGTTAGTGAGGGCCCATAGTTGGCTCTGGGAAGTCTATAAGGCATTGTTTGTCAGCGCATTTACAGTCCTGGAATTATCTGTAGCCCTTGGGGAGTCTCTAAAGTCCCAGTGAGCCCTGGCAGCCCAGGAGGACCCAGAGCTCCTCCCAGAGTACATGTATGTTCTCACCTGGAGGGCAGGCAGCAGCAGCGCCCTGGTGAGAGAACTTCTGGCCAGAGTTGTGGGTTAAATCCAGGTCATGATATGTATTCAGCTAGTTTGCTTGTAATTTCTTTGGCAAGGAGTTGGGGATGTGCACACGTGCATAGATTCACATATGCTTTCCATCTCCTCCTGTGTGGAAGCAGGCACAGCTCCTGTTTTTCCTGTGTAGGATCTGTGATCTATTCTGGTAGCTGTGTAGTGCAGTACTGCCTCCAGTAAATATTCACAGATTTCCTTGTAAACTCAAGCTCTTTTTTTTTTTTTTTCTTCTCTCCTGTGTGGATACACAAAAGCATGTGTTGTTGTGTTGTACCTGCTTTACCCTGTGGGATCTACATAATCAGTCCACGGGTTTTAATGGATTTCAACTCCCTTCTGCCTATAGATACGGTTTCCTGTCTTATTTCGAGCAGGAAGAGCAGAGTCTTTTTTGGTCTTAGCATTCCTGCTTGCCTGGGTTTTGGGAAGAGTTCTCTGGCTGTTTTCCCGTTTGATTTTTGTGTGTGTTTTGTTTTAAGCAGGACAGAGTGCATGTGTGTATGTAATCCATGTGCTCAATTAAGAGAGGCATCTGTTGGGTTTATTTCACATTGCCGAGGAAGGACTGCAAGCAGGGAGCATCTGCTCGGCTTTTTGTCAATGGCTTGTTTTTCATAATTTGCTCTACAGGGTGAATGTTTGGGGAGGGGGAGGTGGCTTTTTATTTCTGAGTTTCATCTTAAGTTTATTTTTATGGTAGCCAGGGAAATTGATTGGGATTTGAAAGTTAATTTTGCTAAGAAAAGAACTAGGAGGGAGAAACAAAAACCATCCAAAGTAAATAGCATTTATGTAACCTTAGCGATACACTCAGAAGGATCCTTATAGGCCATTATTTGCAGTATTTTAATGAGAAAGTAGAAATAAGTTGTTATGGTTCTTCTGTTCACATCTGCGGGTTGGTTTTTTGTTTTGCTTTTTAAACCTGCGAGTTTTGGTTAGATTTTATTTTGGGAAAGATAAGAAAGGAATCCAATGCTAAGATGCTCTTTTGGCATTTTGTCAAAAACAGAAAAAAAGAAAACTTTTTAAAGTAGAGCAGCAGAAGTTTCCTGTTCTTACAGTTCTTGCTTTTGTGTGTTCAGATGTTGGCTGTGCTGCACCTAGCTATCTAGCAGGAGATCTAATTGTCTCTAAATGTATGCATTTCAAAGGCTAATACGCTTGCAGGGAGTGTTTCATACAAGCATGGTTTTTTACACTTCTTGTGGAAGCATCTTCCAAAAGGGTTGGGGAGGATAATGACTCTGTGATAGCTGGGGAGGATATTGCTGTTGGTGTAGCAAAGGGACGGTGGGAGGAAAAGGTCTGAAACTCCCTCCAGTCCCATGAGCAAAATACAAATCCCACTCAAACAGGGGTATAGTTCTGCAAGCGTAGATGTAGATGCTGAGCAGGGTGAAACTTGGGTCTTAGTAAAAATATTTGCAGAAAAGGAGTTAAAAAAAAAAAAATTAATCTTGCTCTATGAACCTAAAGCCAGTACCCTGAAACGGGATCAAATCTGTATCTTCCACGTCATAAGTTGTCAAGGAGGGAAACATTAACAGAAGTAGCTTTCCTGACTGTTCAATCCCACTCTATGGCAAGATAATATATGTATATATATAAATATAATAACATATATATTTAAATTGTATATGTTTATGACTTCAATATCACAAATCATGGTATAAATAATGTGTCTTTCAGATGCATACTACTCAGCTGAACAGCTCTGTTGATCGATGGATATAAAAGGTGCCTACAGCAGCTGGTGTGCAAAATGAAATGTGGGACTGCCTATGAGGAATGGGTGGACAAGCTCCATGGGTGGATTTATGGGGCTGCAGGTAACTTTGGCTGCCACAAAAATCATGGAACCTGAAGCGTAGAAGGACAAACCACAATGAACTCCGTGGTAGCAGGAAAGTATTTTCATTGCTTGAAAAAAAAAAAAAATAAAATTCAAACTTTGTCATCACATTAAAAACATTACATGAGAAGTAATAAACATATTTACACTTCTGTTTTGATTATAAATATACATTATATACAAAATAATGTTATAAAACGTAGAAAGTTCAGTGCTTCTGATTTTTTTTTTAAATTACTGAAATACTAGTCTTCAAAATAAACTACAAACAGATGAACTAAAACCCATATTATTGATTTCTGAAGGTCATCTTCCAAACGGTCCTACACGGTCAGAGCAGAAGGTCAGTAGTGGACATTACAAAGGGGTCTTGTCTGCACAGTTCAAGGCAGTAGGTGGGCTAGTCCAACAGGACTTACAAGGGCAGAGATGTCACTGTCCAAGAGAAGGGATGATGCAGGTTTCTTCAAAGAGACTTTGTTTCTTCCTTCCTCGTTCTGCCCCACCGCACAGTCTCATGTCATTACTATCACAGCACTTTCCTCTGGGATGTCCAATATTATTGCTGTCAATGCTTAATAAGAGTTTCTGCAGGCCTCTGCTGTCCAGGGCAGTGTTCCCCTTCCCCGTGCAGCGGCGGGCAGGTGTAAAAGAAACAGGACAAGCCTAGAACCTTCTGACTCTGTTCTCCACCTGTCTTGGTGGAGGGCATCTCAGTGGGTGCTTTGATATTGGGCACTTGGAACCAGGATGAAGGACAGAATCGGCAATTTGCAACCCGATGGAGAAATAGGGGGATGACACTGCTGCTTCTCCTTTGGAAATTAACAGCAGCAACTTTGAGACCATTTGCAGAAGAAGGTGGCACCTAAGTCAGAAACACAACGTAAACCCCCAAATCTGTGTCATTATAAGGGGGCTGAGGGAGAGAATGAGGAAGGGAAAAGAGAATGTCTATTCACAATCGCTGGTAGTGCAAAAGGCGTGAGAATGGCTGAGACGGTTCAGCACATACAAGGTTCTAGGAGCCGACTGATTTTAAATGCAGATGTAAGGCTTCAAACAGGATTGGGATCATGTCTCTCCTCATTATCAATGGGAAACAGGCAGTAGACATTCCTTCTCACCACATCTTTCCCTTCTCAAATGCTTAAATCCAGGAAAATCCTGTCCCATGTTGTGGCTTGGGTCAATCAGTTCTCCAAAGCATCACCAAATGCAATGACATGTAAAGTCAGTCCCCCTCTTTCCTTCCTCCTCTTGCCCCTTGAATTGTCTCCAGTACATGCAGCAGGAGAGAGGAGATGCAAGTGGACGTGTAGCAGGAAGTGTCAATCACCCCTGCCCAATACTGCTCAGGTAACTGCAAGAAGAGCAGTCGAGTCTCTGTTTGGGCTCATTAGATTCTCTTGACAGATTTTAGGCACTTTTAAACCCATTAAAAAAAAAAAAAAATAAAGTGGAGACCTCATTTATACTGTATCCATTATCTGCACAGCCATGCACCTTTCTTCACACCTTCCACAGCAACATCTGTGACAGTTAAGTGCCTCCTCATCTACCAGCACCTCCCATACCAAAGTTCTGGAAAGCCACGGGTCTGGCCATGAGGAATTGGCCTCAGTATCTTTCAAAAGCAAATCAAAAGTTAACATGTTTAACCCCTCTCTCTTCCCTCTGCCTCCCTTCATGTATAGCCAGTGAGATTTGTGGCATCAAATGTCAAACAAGAGCAGTAAGAATGAATAAGTCTATTGCATCTTTCAGTAAATTCACAGTCTGTCCAGTTCCATCCTCCACCTGAGAGCAGCAAGTTGCATGTAATTACAAACAGTCCAATCCAGTTCTGAATTGTAAACAATGCAGCAGGAACGTCCATCTACTGGCATTACCAAATCTGAGGTGCAAACAGGCTGATCTTCAGTCTTATACCTGTCAGGGGATAGAAGAATTTGAGGAATGAGAAGGAAGCACAGAATACAGCAGAACTAACAAACTATAGTTATGTCAAACCAAAGTAACATCAGCCAGACATTACTGCAGTTTAGTTATCAGTATTCACTGGTTTTGCCTGCATCCTGAGAGAGAGAATAGTCAAACAACTCATCTGTATGATAAGTAGCCTTCCCTACCTGAAGTGGGGGAAGGAAAGCCTAGAATAAATCGTACAAATCTGGGTGTTTAACATAATGTCTCTGTAAATAGCATATGGTATAGCTGGATAGCTTATGTGCTTTGGAGAAAAGTTTCAGGGTCTGCCATTCTGAAATTAAAAATACTTCTGGGGGAAACCAATGTAAAATCAGCTTTTGTCAGCAAGGTCTTCAAAAGGAAGATATGGTATTTGGGTCCACTACCAGGAATGAAGCATCTAAATATCATTTATGTCTTTGAAAATCCTTTCTGTTAGTCTTAAACTTTTAATATTGTTGGTTGACTAATATTCCAGCTTGCCTTCAAGCAGAAATCTGATATCCACCCTGGCAAGGGAGACAGAATCCTGCTCATCTGACTTCACAGGTCGCTGCTATATGGCACAGCAAGCTCCTCCTTGGAGTCTCTAACTGAAACAAGCACTAATGGTGACTACGCTGAAAGGTATTGGTTTGTGATAAATTGCTTTTAACTTCTCTTTGGGCCTTTCTCTAAAGTGTCAACAATCCTTTTGGAACCAGCTGGATCTTCACTTCCTTCTTTTGTACTGTTCTCTGCCTTTTCAAAATAACATCAACATCTGGATAACTTAAGAAACAGCATTAAATTCTGTTACAGCCACGAATATGTAGCTAGAGCTTAAATGCCAAGAAGTTGAAATTTCCTTCCATGTCTTACTACAGACTTACTAAATAGCTGTTCTGCCTATCCACTAACATATTCAGTTACTTTTCATCTTCTGCTGGAAAGCTAAAGCTTTGCTTGTTGTCACTGAACACAGATTATCTATTGTAGTAATGGGGGTGAAAAAAAGAAAATGCACAGCTTTACATCAATGGGGCCATGAACTGTTTTATTTTTTTTTTTTTCCTCTGATTAAGAGGAAATAATCCTGTGATATATTGAATCTTTACAGGCTGACATTCAGTGCTTTCATCTCCCACTGACTTATCTAAACACAGAATCTCTACTTTAATAAAACCAGAGCTGTTCATTTCTTTATTTTTCCCCACATATGTTCTGTTTTCTTGGGCACTCCTGCATGCCATTGAAGAGATGAGGTGTATGCTGAGATCCCTGAAAACAGAGCATCATTCTCAGCTGCAGCTCTAAAGGATAGATTTGCCTCTTTTATTTTGTGAATTTATGTTTGTTCATTGGTGTGCTTGCTTACCTCTGTGGCTATGATGCACTCATTCCTTTCTTCTGTTATCACAAAGACGGACTGGTACATTGAATCCCTTGGAGAACATATCGCTGATATTCTACATTCCGGCTTTTCACTAAAGCAGGGCAGAGAGAAAAAGGTGTTGACTTCTGACATGCCTGACTCTGAAATGCTACCATGAATATGTAGGCGTGGAACAAGATAGCTGTGGAGGTGAGGGAGAGGAGGGCAAAGGATGAAGTTTCACATGTTCTATATGATGGCAAGACATTTTACTTTAGGGAAGTGGAAGTGAGAAATGGCTACTGTCTTGCTAGATTTCTGCCATGTCCAATTTAGTCAAGTACTCCTCAGATCCCTCAGTGCAGAGCAGCCACAAGCGGAACCCAGGCAAGACTTTCAGCATGCACATCAGAATATAGAGGAGCCAACAAATAGCTGCCCTTTTTTTTGAAGGGAGAAGTAATTTTCACTCTAATCTTTTTTTCAGTGTTTTCTAAATAAGCAAAATACTTATTTTTAATTCGCTATTTGCTGTAGTATCACTTCTCTGTGATTTACTGAGGAAGGAAACATACTTCTTACTTTCATCACTGGACCGGTCACTTCTGTTCCCCTTCACAGCATTCATGTTACCAGCATACTGCGCACAAGCTTTCAATTAATTTAGCTATGGATACTACTTGGCCGTGGCACTCATACTTCAGTTCAGAATTCCTGCCTTTGCTCTGGTTTGTTTTGTATGTTCTCTCCCTTTTTTCCCATTTTCTCATCTGCATCTAGGCCAGTGTGAAGGTGTGGGGCTTACAGAGGCTACAAGGAAGGCTAAATTCTCACCTGTGTAGTCGGAGTGGAGACTTCTCTCCTAAACACTTTTCACTTTTGTAATATTTATCTTCCTGTGTCCCTCTACTCGTCAGATCTTTTACTAGATTGTAGTCCAGTTTATGATTCTTGGGTTTGTAGTTTGACTTCTCGAGCCCACAGTCCACTTCAAGGTCTTTATTTTTATTGGTGTTTTTGAGCTGGGAAGCTGGAATGAGATTGTCCTTCTGGAAGTCAGACAGGTTATTCATTGTCTCCAAGTCCTGCTGTGGGTGCATCCTCATCTGCCTGATGACCATTGCTATCATGCAGAACAGTATGAGCAAAGCCACAAGCCCCACTCCCATAGATATAGCAATCCAGGGGACTGGTTTAGGAGGAAGTGTGATGGGCACTGAATAAACTGGTAGTTCACAACGGCTGCCCATGAAGCCAGAAGGACAGTAGCAGACAAAGTTGGCACTATAAAGTCCACTGTAGCATGTGCCTCCGTTCTCACATGGCCCAGAAGCACATTCATCTCTGGTCTTGATGTCACAGTTCCTGCCGCTATAGCCTGGCAAGCACGTGCACGTGTAGTCATTGATCAGGTCATGACAAGTTCCCCCATTGGAACACGGGTTCCTGGCACAGTCATTGATGTTAATCTCACATTTCTGACCAGAGAAGCCAGCCCGACAACGACACACACGAATCTGACCAAGGTAAAAGCAATTACCATCTGAGGAAAAAGTAAAAAAGAAATCAGTATGCAATGTGTTTCGCTCAGAAACATAAAGCTCTCCCACCCTGTAAGCAAAACTACCTCAAGAAGAGATTATTTTACAAAACAACTAACTATCTAAGGCTTCCTTCTAGCTTACTGATCACCCTTTAAAACCATGCCACTTCTAAATATATAATAATGCTGGTTTAATGTACGTAATGCTTTCCCATTCCATAATAAAGCTTATGCACTGTTTTTTTTTTTTTACATAGCAAATGCCAGTGAAAGTCCCCCGCGAGAGACCAAAATTAGGATAGATGTGGAATACAGTGAGGGAGAGGGAGGGATTAATGTATTAGAGGAAGTGTAGAGGTCAGATTGGATTTCTATCACTTCTGCACTGAAAAGCACAAACAAGTGGAGAAGCCGTGAGATTTATTTTTTTATAAGAAAGACTCACCATTTGCACATGGGTTGCTTGTGCACCTGTCTACTTTTTTTTCACAGTTTGACCCCGTGAAACCAAAAGGGCAAACACAAGTGTAGCTGGCTCCTTGTTCTTTTTCCAAGCATGTGCCTCCATTGAAGCACGGAGAATCGATACACGTCAAAGCACTGTGCTCACAGTGAGCTCCATAGTAGCCAGGGGGGCAGGCGCAGCGATAACCATTCTCCAAATCCTGCAAAACACAACATTAGGCCATTGTTATTTGATGCCACCAAATGATAGTTGTGCCTGTGTTTCTTTTTTGGTCAGCAGCAAGTGCTGTTCTGTCCCACTTCATTCACACTTGGATGTGGCAAAAATGGCATTTGCAGAGTAAATAACTGCAAGCTGGACTGTGGGGGGCAGGATTGTGAACTGGCTGTATTTGGCACATAGGAGTAATCATGCAACAGCACAAGCAGAGCAGATACAGTTGCAGGAGCCTAGAGGCATCTGGGCAAAAATAAGACTAATGCCACTACTGTCTGATGGGATCCCCAGTGTCCTAGAGCAGAATAACATATGGAAAGGGTAGATATCCTGATTGCAGCTGTGTAGGTTGGCATAAGAGCTCCTCCCCTCTTCCTCCTCCCCCCCCCCCCTTTTTTTTTTTTTTCCCCCAAAGGGGTTATTTTGCTTTGCCATGGAGAAGTCCCACCACTTAGGTTACAACAAAACTTGTCTCCTCTTTATAAGCAATATATATCCAAGGCCTTGAGAGAAGGTAATTAGGTGGTCTTGGAGCATTAGCTTTAACCAAAACATGCATCAGATTACATCTGGTATCTATAAGCTATCAGTCTCTATCAGCATGTTGGATCAGTCATTGACTGGGTCTGAAAATACACTGAAACATGAGAAAACTGAAAATACAGAACTTCATTTCACAAAAAGTGCTTCATCTGATTGCCCTTGTATCAACTGATGCTGCAGTTCCATAGCTGAAAGACATTTTCTTTTACTTGCTATTAAAATATAGACCGCACATTTCTTTGTGAACCTTGGTTTGGGAAGCTTATTTTATTTTACAGATACGCTCCCTCATGAGCCTTGGATCTTGCCAAGATCTCATAATGGCTGCCACAGAAACCTAAGGATCAGTTGACTAGTTCTAATCTAGATGATGCATCTCCTCCTGTAACAGACTTCCTCCCCTGACACATCCAGGGAAGGGTTCAGAATGGTAGTTGTGAGAGTCAGTAATGAACCTGTGTACTATCGAATTCCCATTATGTTGTTACAAAACCATTTCTGAAAAGGTATACTGGAGCTTGCTTCACACAAAGACTTTACATTTAAAATGCCCTTACTGTGCAACTACCGCCGTTCCTACAGGGATTGCTGTCACACTCGCTGATCTCATGTTCGCAGTCAACACCAGTAAAGCCAGGTTTGCATGAACATGTATAGCTGCCCTGGCCAGTGTTCATGCAAGTTGCTCCATTTTTGCATGGTCTGTGGTGAGTGCAGTAGTTCAGATCTGCAAAGATACCAGGTGTTAGAAGAAAGAGCGTTTGACAGCTGGCAAAAGACATTCATACAAAAACACCGTCAACAAAGAGTTTTAAATGAAGCCTTCAATTTTGCTACCAATACTGGAGATTCTTATCAGGTTATTATCAGTTCTAATCATGTCTGAGACTTATGAATTTTACACGTCTACTAATCGAGCTCTGAATTTTGAGAAACTTCTCTTTCTCAGTGCTTTGGTTTGCTCTCCCTTTTTTGGGGATGCAATCCCATTAGCTGTAATGATGCCAAAGTGAACAACGTACTCCAAATATTTTCTCAGAAAGACACTCTGAGGCACGACAGACACTCTGTGCACAATATGTCACATAATAGAAGAGCTAGCCCTGTCATTAAAAGGTGTGCTCCAAGGCACATTCTGGGAAGGCAGGAAGGAAACAGAAGTATTTAGGCTTGGAGATTTAAACAAACATTGGAAATATTTTATTGTTTATTTATTGTGTTCTGTTGTTATGAATGTTATTAGTTTAAACTATCTAAATACTCTGCCAAACTAGATGGTTGTTTTTATTTTCCCTTTCAATTTGAGGCAGAGGTTAAGCACACAAGTCCATATCACATAAGTAGAGAATCTTTATAAGCACTATAAATGTCCGAGTAATGGAAACACAATTGGTTAATAGGTAACTACCAACAACAAAAAAAATTTGCACCTTTACTTTTCCTGCTTAATTCAGGCTTCCCTATCTTAATCCTGTAAATGTCTTGCAAACACTTGACTTGCTCTGAGTATTTAATGATCTCAGTGCCAGCAGTGCATATATGGCCTTGAGGACATGACTGCTCAGCTGGCTACAGTTCAGTGATTCACTGGGTTGAATAGGTGGAAGTGGTCTGGTGTACCTTAAAATGGAACCTGTACTTTTCATTCTTGCTTACATGATTTTTCTCTCATGCTCCAGACTTATCACATGAGTTAACTTCCTTGTATGCAAAATAAGGAAGGCCAAATTATGGTGTTTACTGCTGCTGGAAACTGTTTAGTAAATTGTTATCGTTGTACAGGGAATACATTAAACTTAGCTTGAGAAAGCAGAAAACTTGCCCACTCACCACTCACCCAGGTGGTGTTTTTCTCTTAAAAACAAGAGCTACCAAAAAGGCTTGGTTGTTTTGAGCCGAAACTAGTACAAATAAAGAATTGGTATCTGAGACAGCCTTGGTACAAAATAACACCTCTGTATACACACCATACACAAATTTAATTCTGGATCAGATTCCTTAATTCCAGACCGAGGAATATCCAACCCAGAGCCCTAAGCACAATCCTCAGAACCAACCTTGATCACAGAAGAGGCCACCCCATCCTTCGTCACATATGCACTGCCATTGTGTTTTACAAGTCCCATGGCGGCAGCCTATGTGGGGAATGCATTCATCGCAGTAGCGGCCTTGCCAACCAGAACGACAGCTACAAGAAGAGTCAAATTAAAGCATTAATGACATGGAAAAGAGTTTAAGTTTCTATTACAAGTTGACATTTTAATTGAAATTCAGATTGCAATTGCCATCTACTCACATGCACTCTCCAGGCTTGGTGCAATATCCATTCTGTTCGGCACATCCAGACAGACAGATGGCTGTAAGGAAGACAGGAAAAAAGAGCAGAAATGTTTAGGTAAATACGTGCAGACAACAGAATACACTTGTAAAAGGGGGAACGCCAGCTTTTAAAAAATACTTTGAAAACCAGTTTTGCACTTTCAAAGCTTTGTTTTAAAAACTCTCAGTACGGGGAGTTCTGGAGCAGGAGGAAGTGAACGGGGAGAGCCAACATCTGACAAGCTGTCCCTTAGTTTTTTTTCAGTTTACACAACAAACACGAACTCTTGCAGCTCTCTCAAAAAGCAGCAAGAGGCGGCAGCCACGCTTACTCTAACAAAAGACCCAGCGGGGCCCTGAGCCCACAGCAAAGATTCCCACTATACAGTGCAACACCTGCCCCACCACTGGCAGCAGAAGTGGGGAAGCCTCTGCAGACAAGCTGCTGGCAGAATAACTTGGGATAGGTATGACTGACTCAGGGATATCAGGTCTTCTCTGCTGTTTCTTCATACGTGTAGAAGTGCAGCATGACATTGGCAGCTGCAGCAACAGCAGTGCAAAGTCCTCAGCATGCTACTTTTCATCTCCTGGCACGGAGTGGAAAGGTCAGTGTGAAAGCACAGCCCGAGCCTCCACCAGGTGCACTGCACTTAGCGGGCACAAGCAAACATGCTGCATCCAGCATGGGGCCTCCTGATGCACTTGCTGCAGGAAGACAATGCACTTTAGGCCCAGGGTACCTTCACTAAACAGCTCCCTCAGTTTGCCCCTCCTCAAAGGTCTCTTGACTTGCGTTCTTGTCTCAGGTTATGGCTTGGGTTAGCCTAGGTGAAGGTCTAAGGAAGCTGCAGCAGGTGTGCAAGACACCAGCGGGACAGGCCTGCCCAGTGCACAGGACAAGGGGCAGCACACCCCACCAAGGTGATCTCTCTAGCACTGAAGCGAGGTGGCCGAGGCCCTGCTATGCAGATGGGCTGCGGGGCCTGGAGAGCTGGCGTGGCAGACACCACCGGTAGGGCACGGAGCAGCACTTACGCTTGGTGCAGTACTCGCCGGTCCAGCCAGGCAGGCAGGTCAGGCTGCCATCCACCTCGCAGACATAGTGCCCAAAGCGGTCGTCGCGGCGCTTACAGAGGCGGGAGCAGCTCTCTCCATAGTAGTTCTCGCTGCAGACCACGCGGTAGGAGTAGCGCAGCTGGGTCAGCAGGCTGCTCTGCACATCCTGAGACCAGACCTCACCCACCGCCAGCGACCGCTGGATGGCCATCTGGCTGATGAGCCACTCCTCCGGCGGCGGCCGCGAGCCTGCGGGACAGCAAGTAGCGCATCAAGCTGCGGCCAACACCACCGCCACGTCCACCACCCACCCTGGGAACCCACGTGTGTGCTACAGGGCACGGCGCTGCCCCGGCCCCAGCGAGGAGAGACGGAGCGCGTCGGTGGGAATGGAGCGGGGTCAGCGTGCTGCTGCCCTGAAGGATGGAGGGAGCGGGGTCGGTGTGAGAGAGGACCCGTAGCCGAGAGCCCGGGCCGAGGGGGCTCCGCGTCGAGGGCTTTCAAAAGTGCTGCTGGAATATCCTTTTCCTCTCTTGTCAGAAAAACATCCCAAAGCCATTATTCCTTTCCAAAGGGCGGAATTCGAGAAAGGTGTAAAATACAGGAAAAGGCGGCCGGGGCTCTTTGGCAGCCTCGCGGCTTTCTCACCGCTGAGCTCCTTTCTTTCCCACGCCAAAAATAAACCGCAGGAAACGCAATTGTGTTGGAGATTAGGTCGGGACAGAATCAAAGCGGCCCCTGACGGGCATCGTTTGGGGACTAACTGCCGATGGTCGGATAAAGCCGGCCCCGAAATTATCGCATAAACATCTGAGCCGGGGGCGGCGGGGCCGGGCTGCCGTTAACCGTTTCGGGGCGGGGGCGCGGCGCTCACCTTGCGGCAGGTAATTGGCGGGCGCGTGCCAGGCCTGGATGATGAGCGAGAAGGTCCCCTGCGGGCAGAGAGCAAGAGCAGAGTCAGCACAGCACAGCACAGCGCGGCGCGCCCGCACCCCTCCCGCACCGCACCGCACCGCCGAGGAGCGCGCCCGCCGCCCCGCGCTGCTCACCGGCCACGTGAAGTTAAAGGGCAGCTTGATGGGGCTGTCGAACCGCTCCGTGTCGCGGATGCTAAAGGAGTTGACCCCCAGCACCGGGGTGATGATGCTGCCAAAGGTGCAGGAGCCCGGCGACACCACCGCCTGGAAGTGCTTGAGGCAGACACGGAAGAAGGTGCGGCAGTGCGGGGCGCAGGGCTCTCCGCTGGCCAGCGCCCCGCGGCTGTTGACGAACTCGTGCAGCTTCAGCTGGAAGACGCCGGAGCCGGACGCACTCTGCACAAAGGAACACAACACAGCCCCGTCACACCTCGGCCAGCACCCACTGACACCTCGCCAGCCCCTCTCGCCGTCGCTCCGACCGTTACCTGCTGCAAAAGCACTAACAGCAGCGTCAGGCCGCAGGCGCGCCGCGCTCTCATCCTCGCGCCGCTCGTTCTGTATTCCCCAAAAGCTCCGCCGAGCGCGGGCCGGAAGGTAAATCCAGGTGTGGCCGTGCCCTCGGGGCGCTAATCCTGCGCTTTATAAACTCCAGAGCCCGCGGGCTGGGAACGGGGACGCCTCGTCGGGACGGCTCCTCCTTCGGCGGGTGCCGGCAGCGCTCGGTAAATGGGAAACTTGCTTTCCTCCGAGCGGTTTATATAGTTGCCTCGCATCCTCGCGAGCTCATTATGTAAACTGTCAGTCAGCGCGCGGGCGATCCCTCCCCTTTTCCATCTTTCCTTTCTGGAAAACGGAGCCCGGTGCTGCGGAAGCCCTCGGGTCCCACACTCTAATCCCGCTGCCGGCGCTCCGCGCGGGGCCGGACAAACCCCCGGCCGCTCGGCTCTGTACCCCCACGACAACGGGAGCTCCGAGTGGCGGGGTTCGACGTGTTCCCCAAACTCGCCCCGTCCCTCCCGCCCGCGCCCCGGGGCTGCTCCTCGGGCAGAAGGCAACGGCCGGGCCGAGGCGCCCGGGGCGCCGCTCCCCGACGGCCCTGGGGCGGGGGGGGGCTCGGGGAGAGGGCCGGGGCCGGACCGCTGGCGGCGTTGTGCCGCTGCCGGCCCGCGCTCCAGCGTGCGCCAGTAAAGCCTTGGCCTGATTGTGGCGTGCGCTTATTGTTGGGTCGCGTGTCCCTCATTAAAGCCGAGCACAGAGAAGGCCTTTCATGTGGCTTTTTATTTCAGCTTGTTAAATGGATGGGAGGCCGGAGGGGGGAGGGAGAGATAAACCCTCAGCTGTATGGTAATGAGGCCTTGCCACCTTTGTGCCAGCGTCGGGCTCGCCCGGCTGCGAACCTTTCCGGCGTGGATCACCTGGGGAGCAGCCCTCGGGCTGCAGCTCTCCCAAAGGCGCTCCTGGTGCAGCGGCGATTCCACGGATCGGGCCCTTTGGGGGAGCGCGATAAGGAGGAAGTCCCAGGGTCCGGCTGGCTCGGCACCGCTCTGAACCCTCGGCCCGGCCACTCCCTGGAAGCGTTCCCGGATCGGGATGCGGGCCCTGGGGGAATAAAGGCGCGGGGTGCGGGGGTGCCCGCGGGGGCATGAGGCACGCGCCGGGAACCCTTTGTCTGGGCCCGTAACCGGGTCGGGAGGAGGAATGTGCCGCCGACGAGCTCGGAATTTTGCAGCGATCCGCCCGGCCAGATCCCGGCTTTACCAGCAGCAGCGTCAACTGTCAAAATCAAATCTGATGCTAATAGCTTCGGTACTAAATAAAATGAGAGGCCAGATAACATCAGTGCTTGATAAATGGTAATGAGTGTCTAACCTAGGGGAACAGAAGGGCTGTGGGGCTCTTTAATTCAGCATTGAAAGGCTAGCTGGGTACTGCGGGCTCTAGCAGATGTTAGTATGTGTGTGTTTTGATTTTTGACTTGTATTGGACGTTTATTAGGCTAACCAGAGCCACCCCACGCATGGCCACTCGGCCCAGGCACCATCTGGCACAAGCAGGGCGGCGCGCAAGAATAGGGCCTCGCTTCGGCGCTGGGGATCCACGGGCAGCATCTACCATATGGACCCGCAGCTAATGTAGGTTACGGAGAGGCGAGCGGGGCTCCGCTCCTCGCAGCTCCGCAGAACTCCCCGCGGTCCCGCGCCGCGCACGTCGCCCCCCTCCCCGATCCCGGCGCCGAGCGGCTCCGCCGGGCAAACGTTTCCCGGAGCCGGAGCGAGCGGTTGCGATAGGGGCGTAAGATGAGACTCCGGGGCGTTGTTGTGATTGCGGCTATAAAAAGAGCCCCTCATAAAGTAATACGCGGGGAATATAACAAACCACCTGCTGCATGTTGACACACGCACACGGACTTCAGAAGGAAAAAAAAAAAAAAGAAGTTGCGCTGATAGCATCGGGCGGCTGTGCCCGAAAGGCGGAGAGCGGGAGCGCGGCGCTCCCCAGTTCCCCGCGCCAGATGCGGGGCACAGCGGGGGGACACCGCAGAGCACCTCCCTGCGGGCCGCGGGCCCCGGTGCTGCCTTCGGGCTGCGTTTCGGGGCCGCCTCGCTTAGAAACCTGCCCGTATGTTCAGCGCCAGCCCTTCCGTGCGCTGCGTGAGCCGCATCCCCCGGTGGCTTTTAAACCCCTTAGCTTGAAAGTTGCGCATCGACTCGGCGCTGACACACACCGAGAGAGCCTAAAGAAAAAAAAAAAAAGAGGGAGAGAAAAGGAAAGAAAAATCCCTCTTGCTTGTTTTGTTTCTGCCTAAATGGCCGTAGCGCGGAGCAACTCTCCAGGGAAAGCCGCTCCGAGGGGTGTTAATGTGGTCGATTTGGGGTACAAATGTTTGGAAATGTTTCCCGATTCGCACAGAAGGAGGGGGGATTTGCAAACTGTTGCTGCCACATGGCTCCTCCAGCCTGTCCATTCTCATTGTAATGAGGCCGGCGCGTGCCTCATCTGCCGCGCGGGCGCTGCCACGGGCCGGCCGGGCACGCCGCGTGCCAACTGGGACAGCGCGGCTACGCACCGCTCCGCGCCGCTCCGCGCCGCCCGGCCCGGCCCGGCCCCACCCCGCCCGGCCCGACCGCCCCCCCAGGAGCAGAGCTCAGAGCTCGGGCGGCGCGGCGGCGTGTGCCCATTGGGCCATTGTTGCTCGGAGCTGAGCCCATAAAAATCAGAACATTTCTATTAAAGGGTGTAACGATCACTATTGAGCCTCTCGCTACAAATCGATGGCTTCTTTTCCATACAAATGCCTGCTTATGCCTTTATGTTCTCCATCTGTTTGTAGCTAACACCTGCCATTCAATAAATCGATTTGGCCATTTAATGTAACAGCTTCCCGGGACATTTTTTCGTGCCAGATGCCACAGCAGCTCCAAACCTCGCCCCAGCCCCTCGCGGGGATCCGCTGCCCAGGCACGGGGCTGCGGCCGGCACCGCGCTGCAAAGCTCCCCTTGGTCACTCGCTCTTTTGCTTGCTTGTGGCCGGTGGCACCGATCCCGTTTTATTTAGCGCCGTGTTATCGCAGAGGAACCCAGCCGGGCAAGTGGCTCTCAGGGATGCAGTTTTGGTGCTGCTGGGGCTTGGTGCGCTTCCTGTAGGTGTGCTAGGAGTGCCTTTGGAAGGCAGCTGTATTGCTTTAGAATGAATGAATGCAAAAAACAAAACACATAATACAAACAGTTCTAGATGTGGCACTGAGGGATGTGGTTAGGGGGTCTGGCGGGGCTGGGCTGATGGTTGGACTTGGTCCACTTAGTGGATTTGGATTTCCTTGTCTTTTCCAACGTTAGTGGCTCTATCATTCTACGATTCTATGATATGAGCGTATTTCACTTATGTGGTTCTGTTTGATGAGTAACTCAGTGCAAGCTGTAGGCACCACCCTCAGTGCAGCTGTCAGTAAAAGCCTGATTTCCTATAGAAACTTGCTTGGAGGCCTGCGGTCCCTCGGCACTCTCGCCTGAGATGGATGAGCAACACTGGGACAACTTCTCATAAAAAATGCTCCTGGGAACTCTGGCTGGAACTGAGAGAAGCACCAGGGAGAAACTTGAATCTTTGTTAGGTTTTGAACCTCAGAGCTGTAGGTGGGATTGGGAGGCTGGCTGCGCCTTGCTAGGACCTGGTGTTTGTTTGCACAAAGGACACATGTGGGTCAGCAGTCATGGCTGGGCCCTGCCTGGAGCAGCATAACAAAGCACAGGCTTTGGTTAAGGGAAAACCCCCCTTTGTGGGCTGCTCGGTAAACCTCCCATGGGCCCAGCATTGGGAATTCCTGCCTCATAGATCTGTCTTCCAGCAGATGGTTGGGTAGCCCTTGGCTGCTTAGAATATGTCTGGGGCTATGGTACACAGCACTGGGATCTCTTGAAGGAGGCTGGTAAGTGGCTGCTGTAACCACTTTCCCTGCTCCCTTGGTAGCCTGGCACGAGCTGGGAGCTGTGGAAAGTGCAGGACAGGATTTAGGGTCCTCTCCAGAGGCTGGTGCTGGCACCGCATCAGGATGAGGGCTGTGGGGCTCACAGCATTGCACCTGCGTGCACACCAGGGGAAGCTGGTCTGAGCAGCTGCAGCTCCTCTGAGCAGTAACAGTGAAAGGTATTTAAATACAGCTGGACACCTAGGTAAGGAAATTCCTTTTAAAATCCCTGTGCTGGAGGTAAAACTTCCTAATGAATAACGAGAAAAAGACCATCCTGACTTTTTACCCGTAGCACTTTTCTTCTAGTAAAAAAAAAAATAAAAAAATTGTTAACCAGCAGCAGCTGCTTTTGCAGGCCATCAAAAGTGATCCTGGATTGTCCAGATGGAGTCACTCAAGACAGAGACATGAGTGAGGGCTGCCCCCGGCTCCAGGATTTCTGGGTTTGTCCTATTTTAAGAAGATCTGCTGTCCTGCAAACGCCGCTTGTGGGAAATGATTGGATGCAGGAGACCTCGCGGGGGCCCGCCAGGCAGCCTCATGTGGAGCTGTGGTGATGCAGCATGCTGACATTTTGACATAACGTGGTGATGATTCTGTGCTAGCATCGGCCCTCCGAGAGAAAAGTAAATATGTGACATATTGTTCGGGGAAACAAAATAAACCAAACAATGTGGTCCTGTGCCCAGCGACTGATGCAGGCTCTGCAGACCCATGCAGACCCTCTTTTCCTTTGTGATCCGGGGATGCTGGGAAAACGAGTGCGTCGGGGTATCCGACACCCATCCCTGGCCCATCCAGCGCTCCTCCTTTTTGTCTTTGTGTGCGGCCATGCAGGGAGCGAACACAGAGCACCCGCTGTGTTCCCATTGTTTCTCCTGTCTAATGGCCCTACTTAGCCATGGAGGAGCGGGATGGATTTGCGCCTTGTGCACATTGTTCTTGGGGTTCAAAAGAATACTTAAACTAGAGCAGTAGTTAGTATGACAATGGAATAGAAATGAACATTCACTCCAGTTGCTGCGGATGGCACAAGGGCTTAGATAATAGAACAAGGGAGAAGAAAATTAATGAATCTGTCTGTTGACCCATCAGCATAAATATCTTGTCAGTCACATGTGACAGCAGATCTATCTGGATGGCAGAAGCTGTGCTTGCCCAGGCTCCCGGTGAAGTTCCTTAAATCAAGTTTCCATCATTCATGGAGATAGCTGGCCCTTGACTGCATAGCATGCTCTAGGTGGATGAGCAATAAATGCTTATCTCAAG